ATTTGCGAGGCAAGTCAAACTTGGAAGAAATGACCGGGACAGAGGGAGTATAATTTTTCAAAATCAAGCTCTTCACCCAAAATTGGTCCACCAGTTTGCGAAAATGGAAATTGAACATGAGTTATGATTTATTGGTCGAAGAAAAGCTGATTTCATGGACTTTTAAGAAAGACAAAATACAAGCGGGGATGATTAAGTGTATGAAACATCAAGTGAATGTTGATGCTTCATTTATATCAGGTAGATCTTCTAATACAGATTCAACCCTGGAAGCAAAGATTGAAGCAGCTTCTCTTGCTTTACGGTGAACGATTGATACACGGGTTACAGAGGTTTTGAGATGGAATCCGATTCAGCTAGGCTGATTTTTCTTCTTCGAGACCCTTTCTATGATGGAAGATGGAAAGACCACCAGGAAGATATGCGGACAGCTAGAGCACAAGCAGGAAGTGGTATGCGACTAGGGGTGGACTCGGGTCGGGCCAACCGGCCCGGAACCGGACCGGCCTGCTACTGTGCGGGCCCGGACCGGCCCGGTGAACCAGTTGGTTGGCCGGTTCGGGCCACCCGGCCCGGTGGGATGTCGGTTCGGGCTCGGGCCCTTCAAAAGGTGAACCGGCCCGGTCGGTTCGGGCCCGGGCCGGGCCATTTTTTTTTGAATTTTTTTAAGTTTTTAGGTTGGACTGGGTATTTTGGACCATTTGAGGTGGTTAGGGTTGGTTTGGGGGAGATTCGTTACTTTTTACCCGCACGGGTAGCTCAGTTGGTCGAGTGGTGGGAGATTTGGAACAATGGACCAAGGTTCGAATCCCCGCATCGACCGGGTGGAGGTCACAGAACCTGAAATAAGGCTGGGCCTCTGGTGCACACGGGTGTATGGCCTACTGTCATTGTGCTGACTAGGTCACCGTGACTAACCTCCCCACCATCCTGTCGGGTCGGGGTGGGGTGGGGTGGGGGGCTCCTGGGGTGGGAGATTCCACCTTTTGGAACAAAGGGTTGGTTTGGGGGTGAGGGGGAGGGTTGGGGGTTAACTAGGAAAAACCAAAACAAAAAAAATAGAACCGAGGCCCGGCCCGGCCCGGACCCGGGGGTTACCCGGGCCTCCCCTTAATTAACCGAGGCCCGGCCGGGCCCAGGCCCGAACCGGAACTGGTCCATCCCTATATGCGCCACATCCTTGGAGAAGCTATCTGGACCGCACAGTTCTTTGCTCAAGACTTTATTTATTTCCAGATAAAAGTAGGGAGAATTTGACTTTGCACTTCATGTTTTGGGTGATATTTGACTTTTCACCCTATTTTTAAAATCATTAATGTATGCACCCCAATTCACTATAAAATCATTTGACTTTGCACCTCACTCCTTCACAATTTTTGGGCTCATGGGGTGCATACATTAATGATTTTAAAAATGGGGTGCAAAGTCAAATACGTAGTATCACCCAAAACATGGGGTGCAAACTCAAATTCTCCCATAAAAGTATGATTTCCTATTACACTATGAATAAGGTTCCACACATTAATAAACAATCTCGATTCGATGGGCTTGACTTATTTACATTGCTGTTATGGTTAATTTTTATTTGCTTACTTTATTTCAAACTTGTTTAATTTTGAGTCAGGTCTAGTCCCCAAAAAATTTGCATTGCACTTGTTCTCTTAAATTTTATGTCATGTATTTTGTGAAGGAATACCTTCACCGAAGAGACTTTGGTTTGATCCCTATCTTTTCGTGTACTTTTTATTTTTTAGTAAATTCTGATAAATGTTTTCCGACATTACTCCACCGGTGAGTGAGGTCTTCTGAGTTTAAAATAAAAAAGAAAAAAGCAAAAACTTGTTTGTGATTGAGATTTCACTCAAAAGTTTAATATCTTTCAATGTAAGCTCTTTGTCAAGTTCTAATGATTATGACGCCATTGATATATTTACGACTTCAACTAATATATTATGTACATGGTTTTAACTACGTTTGAGTCCGGGTTTGAGTCCGGTTATGACTCACATTAGTCTAAATAAAACTTCATTGGATATTAATACACCACCATACACGCACCATATAAGTGATTATATTTTTATCTTTAGTACTTGAATGTGTATTTTTGAACTCATGATTTAAACTAATTGCAAGCATAAATTTGAAGATTAATTGCAAGCATAAATTGAATTTAACAAACTTTGGTATTGTGTGTCATAGTAATAAATATAAAAAATATAAAAAGAAATCATAATATATTGACTTAAAACTTTTATAAAAAACTAATAGGAGTAGCGGTCGCGAACATTAATTTAAGGGACATAATCCTGACGTCCACACTTAAACACTCTTTGTTCCAAAAGGTGGAATCTCCCACCCCAGGAGCCCCCCACCCCGACCCGACAGGATGGTGGGGAGGACAGTAAGCTCATACACCCGTGCGCTCCATAGGCTCAGCCTTATTTCAGGTTCTATTTTAATAATAATAATAATAATAATAATAAAACAAGGCATGTTGAGTGTTTAAAGAGTGTTTAAGTGTGGAACACATGACCTATCTTAAAATGGGAAAAGGGCCAAAATGGACACTGAGGTTTTTAATGAAGAGCGTATTGGACATTAAGGTTTTTTTGAGATCAAATAAACATCAAATTAAACTTTTCAGACCTCATCGCCCACCCCCTAACATTTCCCGTTAACAACTTCTCTTCCCCGTTATCACCCTGCGATTAGACCTAATTGATATATACCTAATAAATACAATCTGAGACAGATTATGAAGAAGAAAGCAGTGATGTCGGCTAGTCCTTCAGCATCGAGGTCGTCTGAGGCACGGAAATCTGAGTCCGGTGATTCAGTGAAGCTTCGAAGCATCTATGAGCGACCGTATTCTGGGCGTTCTAGGTTTTGCAGATGCATGAATGCAAATGGAACTCGCGTCAAGGCGCCACTTTGGACTTCATGGACTGACAAGAATCCAGCGAGAAGATTTCATGGATGTCCTAATTATGAGGTATGCTTTTAATTGTTCTTTTCACATATGAGAACTGGAGAAGATCATGCATATGTATAATTTATTTATATTCATATTGATATTCATACTCTTGTGTATACTCAGAAGGATGGATGTGGCTTCTTTGAATGGCATGATGAGCCATTAACGGACAGAGCAAGGCATGTTATCAATGAGCTGAAACGGGAGAATAGGAGGCTCCAATCTAGGGTTGGACTCGGGCCGGGTGGCCCGACTCGGAACCGGCCCGGGTGGCCCGACCCGGAACCGGCCCGGGACCGGTACTGTTCCGGCCCGGCCCGAACCGGTGGCCCGGTCAGTGACCGGTCCGGGTAGGCCCGACCCGGTGGGTTTCCGGTCCGGGCTCGGGTCACCCATAACAAGGCCCGGCCGGGCCCGGGCCCGGTTCGGGCCAAATTTATTTATTTTTTGGTTTTTTTCATTTGTTTGGGCTCCACCGGGTTGGGCTTGATGTTTAGGAGGGGTTTGGGGGGTGGGGGTGAGGGGGGGGTCAGGGATGGGTAGCTAAGCAAAAAAAAAATTAACCAAACCCGAGGCCCGGCCCGGCCTGGCCCGGACCCGGACCGGACCCGGTGGCTACCCGGGCCGGTCCCGGGTCCAGCTATATAGAACCGCCGGCCCGACCGGGCCTAGGCCCGGCCCGACCCCGACCCAGCCCGAGTCCAACCCTACTCCAATCTGCAATGTTTGAATTGGAATGTGATAGTGTTGCTCAAAAGTTGGAGAGTGAACTTTGAAGAAGTCAACAGTATAAATGATGCAACCCATCTGGAATTGGAAAGCAAAACTAAAATGAAGAATAATTATGTTATTGTAGTGTTGTTATGTGTCCTTATTGTAGTATTATGTGTGTTAGTATGTTAGTTTCAGTTTCTTGTAAAATGGTTTGGTTATGACCTTGTAAACAGTTTGAATACATGTTGCTGTTAGAATTTGAATTTAAGTTAACACTTTGGTTTGGTTTTTAATAAGTTGGTCTGGTTGTATTACTATGTTTGAGAGCAGTGTACTGATAACACCACAAATGAAGTAGTGTACTGGTAACACCAGTTTGAGAGCAATTTGAAATCAGAGCCAATATCATAACCACAATACAATCTGTAGAAGAAAGCCCTCATGCCAACATGGTCTGGTTGAATAAACAACATATATAATGAAACATATGAGTCTCCATTCATCACTTTGCCAAAATATAAACAAAGTGAGTTCCTTATATTGCCAGAAGTACTAATACTTCATACAAAACACCTAAACTTCCAGTGAGTCTTCAAACGACTACATTGCCAAAAAGCTAATAAGCTAATAAATACAAAGTGCCCAAAATTGTTCTAATGAAACATATGAGTCTTCATTCATCCATATTTGCATCCAAAAGTGTTCTAATGAAACATATGAGTCTTCATTCATCACTTTGGAATGGAACCCGACCTCCTGATCTGCATCTTCTGTAACAACTGCTTAGAGCTGATTGCTGCATTCCCATTCCATTGCAAACCAGGTGGTTGAAAAGGTAGGTTTGTTGGATTATGCACCTCTGTACCATCACCCTTGAAAGGTATTGTTCTATATGTTGGCACATCCAACTGCTTCTCAGCTCGGGCAGCTCCTCTGATATCTTTTTCATTTGGGATTGCAAATCTGACTGTAACATCAGGGTCATGTGGCATTTCAGACTGGAAATTTGAAACTATTTCCTCACTGCTCATCCCAGGCTACAAGCATAAACAAGTACATGAAGGTAAAATTAGAAATAAGAAAACTTATTTCAATACATCAACAAACTAAACCACTTACATAACATTGGAAACCTATTGATACTCACATTTAAAGTCTTCTCCCCAGTGTTCACATCCACATGGCACCCAAAGCCTGTTACAGATTGTTTACTTATCTTCCTTCCTATTCTTCTACATGTCACTTTAGAATTACCGGTACTCCTTTTAACATTAGTGTGTGGATTTGTTAGTGGAGCTGATTCTTTAGTGGTAGGAATTGCTGAAAAAGCAACACTAGCAGGTCTCTTCACAGGTATAGGTCCATTCCCTTCTGCTCCTTGAACACTTGCCTAAGAAACAGATAAAAAAAGTCATGAAAACACAATAAATCAATATTGCAGTTTACATATTCAAAGTCATGTACTACTTACATCTTTATCTTTATTAGGACATGTAGCTCTCTTATGGCCCTCCTTATGGCATATCCCACAAGTTTGTAGTCTCCCTTTTCTTGATGATGTCTGAGGTGTAGCACTGGCAGATGTAGAAGCACTTCCAGATCCTTTGACCTCAGTAGATGATCTAACCCTGTTCTTCTTTGGTCTGCCAGGTAGGTTTGGCACTGGGGGAGGTAAAATGGGTTCATAATCATCAACCTTCATGAAAGCTTTTCCAGGTACCGGTTGCAAAGCATTTGCATATGCTGCCATATAAGTCTCCTTATGATACCATCTTGAAATGTAGGTGATAGGATCTACCTTCCTATAATAGAAAGCACATATGGCATGTAAGCATGGTATTCCAGTCAGTTCCCATGCTCTAAAAGTGCAGACCATCTTATCCAACACAACTGTGTGCTTATCTGTCCCCTCTCCAATCTCAAACCCCACATCCCCATTAAATATAACATTGCAACCACTAGCAGCCTCCTTATTGTCTTGATAGTACTCCATGCATAAGGGAGACCAATCGTTTATCCACTTATCATGATTTGTCTTGAACTCTGAAATTCTTTTCATTGCCTTCAATCGTATATCTTCCAGCATGGTTACAATAGGTTTTGACCTAGCTTCCCGGATCCATGAATTGAACGATTGGTTTGATTTTCAGCTTGTAACCATATTTCACACCATAATTAGCAATTGCAGTCCTAGCCTCTTCAGCATCTGCAAAGGTCATTCCATTCATAAAACAATCTGACCCATTTGTTGCATTGTAATTGATTGTACCATCATTATCAGAGGATGGATCAGAATTGTTGTTGTCTTCATCTTCTGAGCCTCTATTTGATTCTTCATCTGTAACATACCCATTTGGGACACCACTTGTATTCACTTCATCACTTTGGTCTCTCCAATCTGTATTGGCAGACTCATCACCCACCCCACCATCATTCTCATCACCAATGTCATGGTTACCAATTTCAGAAAATGAACCTTCTATCAGGGGAATCAAAATGGGTTCGTCCAGTTGATGGTCAACATATAGCTCTATAGTATTAATCCAAGAAAATCTCCTTATACGATTTAACACTTTCCTTATAATTTCATCATCCTGAACTAAGAAAAGTCCATTGTCCAAATCCTTTCCAGGTTCTAAAACATATATATTTTTCAGTGTTTTAAACCCCAAGTCATCCTTGTATTTTCTTGAAATGTCATGATAACACATATAATCAGGGTCAAACCCATAAACTGTATCAGCGTCCCCATTCACATACTGTAACTTTGGTTTCATAACCCACCTCCCGTTATGGTTAAATCTGAGATTAACCAACCCATTCATTGTAACAAACAAAAACAACACTCAAAGATTACCTCAGATTAGTCGTACGTATTGTAACCTTGGTCGTGCAGTTGAACACCTTCTAATCTTCTCAACTCACTCGCACAATCTCACACTTATTAGCCATGGAAGTGAGTTAGGGTTAGAAATTTCAATTAGGGAGATTGTAATCGCAGGGTGATAACGGGGAAGAGAAGCTGTTAACGGGAAATGTTAGGGGGTGGGCGATGAGGTCTGAAAAGTTTAATTTGATGTTTATTTGATCTCAAAAAAACCTTAATGTCCAATACGCTCTTCGTTAAAAACCTCAGTGTCCATTTTGGCCCTTTTCCCATCTTAAAATGGGTGTATCTTTTCCTTTATTTTCCCGAGAACTTTTTATATGAATTTTCAAAATTCGTTTTGGAATGGGGAAAATGGAGATTTAAGAACTGGCGTGAAGCTCAACTAGCCAAGTAGCTGTCGTTCAGTTTACCGGCCCCTTCAGAATTCGAAAATTCAAAGCAGATTTGGAATCATCCCGCCAGAAAACGCACTCAGAGCTGGAGAAAATGGAAGCTCAAGGGGAATTACCAGCGCCGACGCTGAAGCTAACTATGGAGAAAGGTCCACTCGCTGGCCAATGCGTGGAATTCAAACCCGGTTTTACCGTTCGTCTTGGCCGAGTTCGCCGGCCTGGCCGTGGGCCGTTCAACAATCTCGTCATCAAAGATGCAGATTCCGGCATCGAAGATCCCGGCATCTCCTCCAGACACCTCACCGTCGAATACAACTCATCCGATGGAAAATGGATTATCTGCGACCTCGGATCCCTTAATGGGACCTTTCTCAATGGCGATAAACTTGACCCGTCCTGTCCCACCGCGCTTTCTGACAGCGACGTCATTAAGATCGGGGATCTCACTACAATGAAGGTCCAAATCCATTGCCTCCACAGCGCTTCTACCAAGGAAAAGGTAAACCCTAGGGGGAAGGCCGCCACAGACACCGCACAAAAAGATAACCGCATTGTGGCTGAGAATCCCGAGTTAGGGTTAGCGGATGCAGAGTTGGGGAAGACGAATAGGCGCCTCCCTCCTCGTCCCCGGGGTAGGACTCAGAAGGGAAGTAATGTGATCAGTGACAAGGTTGAACTTCAAGCTGAGGGCACTGGTTTTGATAAAGGCAAGACTTCTCATGTTGAAATTGCTATTGTTGAGAAAACAGAGAGCCTCAGGATGATAGAGAAAGATGAAGATGGTGGTCAGCCAAGGACCAGGAATGGCCGAGGAAGAGGAGGCCAAGCAAAGCTGGGAAGGGCCGCCGCCAGAAGTACAAAGCAGAGCATTTTACATGCAGAGAGTGTCACTTCAGTTCATTTGGAAGAAGATGGTAATGCAGCAAATTCTTCTAGCTTAAAGGACAGAGATGAACTTCAAGCTGAGGGCACTGAACTTGAAAATGCAGGTTCACTGAGAAAAAGGAATTCAGTCAAGGTAGAGGATTTCAGTGATGGGGCTTCTCAAGTTGACCTGGCTATTGTTGAGAAAACAGAGAATTTGAGTGTGATGGGGACTGATGAGTATGGTGGTCAAGGAAGGACTAGGAATGCCCGGGGAAGAGCACGTCCAGCTGTCACAAGAAGGGCCAACACCAGAAGTACCAAAAAGAGCAATTTACAGGCAGCGAATGTGACTTCAGTTCATTTGGAAGAAGATGGGAATGCAAAGATGGATGGAGATGAAGTTGTAGAGCAAACCTTATGTCAAGAAGAAGACACTCACGCTATGGAGGAGGATCATGAAGGGGAAGAGCAGTTTAAGTCCAGGGAAAAAGAAGCTCACCATGTACCTGGTGAAAAGAAGGGCAAACCTGACACTGAAAAAACATTGGACTTGGAAACTATGACCATGGGTGAGTGGCTTGCGTATTTGGAGGTTGAGATCCCAAAACAAATAATTGAAGCCTCAGAGGAGATGATTTCAGAAATGAGAAACAAGGCAGAGAAGTTTCAAGAAATTATGATGAACCAAAAGAATGCAAAGGATCGGAGGACCTGATGTGAGGTATATATTAGACTGCCTTGGAGAGATCAGTAGAATCACTGGTTCTGGTAATCTCATAGGAGAATATCCTCTTGCTGTAATATTTTTGTTTCAAAGGTCAGTGGTGGTTTTAAATTCGTACATGGAAGAACAAATTTGTGAGAATCTTGACATCTTGCTTTAAGCTGACTTAATGCTCCCACATTCCCTTTTAAGCAAAACCATGATGCTCTAAGTTCTGCATTAGGCACAACTGTTATGGTACGAAGATCTCTGAGTCCTAGATTTAGTTCTTACATGAACTTTACTCCTATTAGTGGGGGAGTTTCTTTGTTAAACTCCTATTAGCTGTTGTGCTTGAGAAAAGCAGTGATCGAAGGGGTCATATGTGATTTAAACTCTTTGCCTCTGAACCATAACCTACCGTTAAAGTTTATTAGTTTTATTTAGACATATTTCTTATGAAAATAGGTCATTTTTTCCATGATCAGAGGGGGCTATCTTATTTTATGCTTACTCCTATCACCCACCCTTAGTTTCCTCATCTGCATGCTTTTTGTCCCCTCCATCCGCATCACATAGAGCGTTTACTTTTAGACTAGAAATAACCATATGTTTAGTTTTGTCATGAATATAGTTTTTATCTTCACCTCTCAAATCATCTATAGGTATAAAGCATTCAATAACTATATATTAATTGTCCCCAGATTAGGAGGGGACGAGTTAACTAGTTGAATGCTTTATATATTATTAACTAGTTGAAATGGTGGGTTTGGTCGGGTCTGGAGCTAGGGAGCGTGGCTGGGGGCAGGTCCTGGGCTGTGGAAGCTAGACCTATGGTATGTATGGTTATACAGCCTATTCAGCTACTAAATTTGGGCTAAGGGGTATGGCAGAAGCATTGCAGCAGGAGGTTGTTGCAGATATCATTCGTGCCTCACTATTTTTTCCGCCTGAGACTGATACGCCTAGCCTTACTGAAGGTATTGGAACAAAGATTGATTTTTTTGGAGCAACAGACCTGAAGCCTTTAGAAAATTCAGAAGTTGTGAAACTTAGTGATCAAATCAGAGATCTCTACTTAGTTGAGGGTGACATGTCAATACAATAACAACAACATCCAAATTTTATTCCCAAAAGATATTGGGGTTGGCTAACATGAACCGATTCATGATATTAGAGCCAAAAATGGAAGAAAGATAAGAACAATAAAAACATAAAGTAAGATAAAATGGACAAGATAAAGATAACTTTAAAGTAAAAATAACATAAGAACATGCGAAAGCTAAAAGATAAAACGATAAAAAGCGTTCATCTTCCATATGGTTTATTGCATTTTAATTCTGTCAAAAATCGTTCATCTTCCATAAAGCACTTCTTCCTTTCCATTTCATCACTTCAAAAACTTAACTTTCAAACTTTTGTAGCAATCAGGTAAGGTCAAGGCTAATAAGAAGTACAAATATTCGTTCAACCAAAAACTAATCACCGAATCAAATGGAACCTTGATAACCTTTGTAACCAAAAGTGTCACGACAACATCCAAAGGTAACCTTTGGATTCTTAAGTAGGGGACGAATCGGAAATATTTAGCAGTATTTTCTTATGAAGGTCTGGTCACGAGAATATGATACATCGGTGTAAAAGATTGGGTTAGATATGTGAGGTTAGTTATATATGTATATAGCTACGTCGCTCCTTCCAATCGCCCCTCCTCACAACACAAGGTTGAGTTCCCTCCCATTTGATTAGTTCTCTCGCAACAAAGAGAGGAACCGAGAATGATTGTGCGCTTATGTGTTGCGCTTCGACACACTAAACTCTCTTAAGCTTGTATGCATAAAAAACATTGACACAGATAATCCATTATATTGACCTTGCTATATTCCCAATTAAATTGTTTTACAAAAATACACTCGAGCATTTGAGTTTTATGTGTGTTTGAAGAGAGTTTTATAATGGAAATGTCACATTGGTCTAAAGTTACTGTAGATTCCATTTAGCTATTTTCATATACTTTTTTCATTACTTAATAAAATATATATTTAGACTAATTTTTCTATAATTCAGCCAATTAAGCTAAACTTATTCAATTTCATCAGATTCAGACGGTTCACCCAATTCTTGTGTTATCAAATGGGCTCTAGCTCAAAATTATCTACATTCTTTACATTTCCATTTGCCAAATAATAGACCTCATTTTATCTTTATGGTAAAAGATTAGTGGTTCATAACATTTAAAGTATGTCTTTCAAAAAAACAAGACATTTAGAACATTTTCCTTCTACACAATATGAATAACCAATTTTCTTGGACTAACTCCAATCGCATGGAGTATGAATAACCAAATGAAGAGTTAATTTTGAGGATGCTTTTACTTGGATGCTTTTATTGTAAAATACACATAGGACGTGTTTAACATTTAGCGATTTACTGTTAGCGGATATATAGCGAGTTAAATTAGCAGGTTGTTAATAGCGGATTAAGTCTGCATGTTTAATTAAGGCAATAAGTTGGCGGGTGGTGAAAAGATATTTAGTAAAATGGTTGTTCGGTCATAGCAATTAGTAGGAAATGACCTATTTCAAAACGCTAACCCAAAACGCTACTATTAGCAGCGTTTCCATCTCTGCAGTTCAATTCAAAAACATAAAGGTCGGACATCTATACCAAAGAAATATTTTCAGTTACTGAAAACGCTAAAATGGGTGAAATCACTTTTTTTTTAACTAAAATGACATTTTCCAACCGCTCTATAAGCAAGGCATATAGCATCAAACTAGACTAAGGGGGTTTTTAGTAAGTGGTGTTTCAGTTGAAAAATGACGGTTTGACCACTTTTAGCGTTTTCAATATGTGAAATAGTTGTTTGGTAAATAGCTGTCCGACACCAGCGTTTTTGGACGGAAATGCTGAAAAGAAAATGTTAGTCAAATCCGGTGACCAAATCTGCTATTGGCAACCCGCCAATTTATTATTCTAGTCAAATACGATGACCAAATATGTTATTGACAATCCACTAACATAAACCGCTAACATAAACCGTTTAATGCCAAACATGCCCTGACTCAAATCAAACCAGTCTTAATATAAAGGAAAAGTTGACAAGAATAATTCCACCTTTCACTAGCCTTCTCATAATAATCTCACTTTTACGTAATCCCAGATTAATCTCATCTTTGCACCTCATCTTCTTTCGTTGGACTCTGACCTGTTGATGACCTACTTTACAAAGTTTTTACCCTTTTTTTGAAAACCTTATATAAATAATCTCATCTTTCACAAATTTGCTCAATACGGTCCCATTTTTCATTTTTTCTTTTTTCTTTTTTCTCCCTAAAATTTTTCTTACTTTATTTTCATCCGTAGACATTTTTTTTAATACTTTTTCTATCATTTTGTTCTTATTTCTTTTCCATTTTTATTATTCTATTTCTCACTCTATTAGGAGAGATTTTTTCGTAAAATTTCTCTTAAAATAGCTCTTTTTTTGTCGTTTTCTTTTCTTTCCGCATTTTTATTTGATTTCCCTTTTTATATTTTTCTTCTTAATCGTTCTCTTCTTATTAAAGATCTTATTTTAAAAGTGAAAATATAAAAGTGGAAAAGTGTAAAAAAAACATAACAAAAAGTAAAGTGAGAAAAAGATCTTTAATAAGAAGAGAATGATTAAGAAGAAAAAGATCTTTAATAAAATATGGAAAGAAAAAAACAACGACAAAAAAGAGCTATTTTGAAGAGAAATTTTACAAAAAATCTCTTAATAGAGTAAGAAATAGAATAATAAAAAATGAAAAAGAAATAAGAAAAAAGGATAAAAAAGGATTAGATAGTGTCTAGGGATGAAAATAAAGAAGGAAAATTTTTAGGGGAAAACAATGAAAATGAGATCATTCTGAATAGATTTGTGAAAGATGAGATTATTTATATAAGATTTTCAAAGAAAAGGTAAAAAAAAAAACTAGTATAGTAGATTATCGATAGGTCAGAATCCAACGAAACAAAATGAGGTACCAAGGTAAAATGGTATAAGAAAATTAGTAAACCGTGAGATTATTTTGTCAGTTTTGCGTGATATAAATAGTTTTCAAAGGATTTCCATCTTAAACCCAGACGGACCGTTTGGAAACTCGGAATAGCCCGTCTTTTATCCCAAAAAGAAAATCTTTCGTCTATGGCAGATGTAAGTGTCTCTCTGCTGTCTCTTCTCCTCCTCCTCGCGCTCGCCCTCATCACATTCCTCTACCTCATCGTCCGGCCTCGTCCTGTGAAATTCCTAATCAAGAACCGCCACGTCTTCATCACTGGCGGCTCAAGCGGTATCGGCTTGGCTTTAGCTCACCAAGCCGCTTTAGAAGGCGCCAAGGTCTCGATACTAGCTCGGAATGCCGAGAAGCTGGAGGATGCTAAGCGCGAAATCCGGCTCGCCACTGGATGCGACGTCGCCGTGTTTAGCGCCGACGTCAGAGATTACAACGCCTTAAAGAAGGCCGTAGAAGAGGCCGGTCCTGTCGATGTTCTGGTTTGTAATCAGGGGGTGTTTGTGCCGCAGGAGCTTGAAAATCAGGATCTGGACGAGGTAAAGTTCATGATCGATGTGAATTTGACGGGGACTTTTAATTTGATCAAAGCCGCATTACCGGGAATGAAGAACCGAATAAAACGTGGTCCGGGATCAATTGCGATCATGTCTTCTCAGGCCGGGCAGGTTATACTTAAGCTCAAACTTAGGGCACAGATTGAAGCGTTTGACTTTCAATGAAACAAAACTGAGAAAGGGTTATCTGATTTACAATTTTTAACTTGATGGTCAATTGGTACTTCTTAACTAAGTCGTAAACATTCTGTGACTATATCAACACTTTGTTCCTGAAAGTATGTTTCTTTTGCAAACCTTTTTGTTCCTAATTAGTTGTTGTTTCTCACTGGATGACTACATGTATTAAATCATTTCAATTTTTCCTTTTTATACGCAACCACCTTGGGCAAATTTCATTCATTCTTGTGCTCTCAAAGTCTATTTGATGGAATGATTAGATAAGCATATGGTATGAGGGCCTATTTGTGTTGTATCCTCTTTTGTCCGTATATTTTGGCATTTCCTAGATAAGTTTGAAACACTGACATCCCTTTAAGAACATATAAAAAACGAGTTGTAGAAATTCCAAGTCTTCATTTCAAAGTTGTAATTTTTTTTATCTCTAGGGGCCTTAAAGTACATGCTCTTTTTTCATCCTAAATACTAATAGCACTCTATGCTGGCCTTGGACTTTCACTTGGATTACCAGGAAACAATTCATCTCACATAGAGCTTCAAGGGGATGATTTGTAGAGCTTCTAATGGATGTGATGTATAATTTAATTGTTTGAAATGTGAAACAAATGGACTAGCTTATCATTTGGACACATGGTTTAGTAATAGGGACACTTAAAGCAATTTTGTGGAGAAAACTGATATTGGAATGTTGAATGCTTATTCCCGAAAACATTTGTTATGAACTATGTCACTTCCTTGAACTCGCTTAAGGAAATCCTAAGCTCCAAAATAAGCTCCTCGAAAAGAAAAACTCGTACCGCTCATAGGCGGTGATATTGTAGGTTCAAGCCCTACTAAGCCTACCTTTTCACCGCAATATAGGAATATGCATAAACTGTAGCTCAAAAGAGCTTATCTCCCCACTGCCCTCCATTCCCCCTGTCTATTTCTTGAAGTATATTGGCTACTGAATCATGTTTTCCTCCAAAGATTGCAACAGACCTAAGATGGTGTGTCAAGAGCACCCATTGGAATTATACAATTGCTCATCCATTACTATTTCTTATTCGTTCATTTAAAAAAGCTTGTTTGAGATATTTTCCATTAGATTGATTCTCAATTCTCAATTTGTATAATCTCTTTTAGGTTGGTATATATGGTTATACGGCCTATTCAGCTACTAAATTTGGGCTAAGGGGTATGGCAGAAGCATTGCAGCAGGAGGTTGTTGCAGATAACATTCGTGTCTCACTAATTTTTCCGCCTGACACTGATACGCCTGGCCTTACTGAAGGTATTGGAACAAAGATTGATTTTTTATCCCTTAAAGGCGCAAGTTTTCTCGATGTTGTCAGCGTCTTTGCCCAATTTAGGCTAAAAGTAATTTTGGTCCTGTACCTACAAGGGGTTGCAAAACTAGTCATGTTGAACCCTTTTTTCTGTTCAAGATTTGACCCATTTCTTTTGGAATATCGGCAACTCAGTCCTGAAGCCTTTATAAAATTCAGAAGTTGTGAAATTTAAATATTATTAGAGATCTACTTAGTTGAGGGTGACATATCAATATTATTAAATTTAAATATTTCCAAAAATGCATTTTTAAATTTCTAATTGTCTGTCTTTTTTTTTTGTTTTTTATTCTTAAAAATGCATATGAAGCAATATTAACCATAACAAAATAGACAGGCCACCATAAGTTTTTGCAATATTCACTAGCTTTGAGAGTAAGAGCTTTTCGCGTAGACCACTTTTTGCACCCACTAATAGCTACGGGACCAAAATGCTTTTTACCCCAAAAAATAGTTGAAGCATGTCGGATCTAGGGTTAGAGAGTCTTTTTAGGGAGAGAAGGTAAGTTGTGGATTTGTGGTAATAATGAAATGTACTTTGTTCCACAACTGGAGGGGATATTTATAGAGTAGATGATGCTATATTTAAAGTCTGCTATACATTTAATGAGAACAAGAATGGTTCAGACATGACCAACACATGCACCCCAAGTGTTGAGACTTGAGACCATGCCTTATGTTATAGGTAGGCTCCCGAGCAAGGGTCGTCCAGCCTACCAAGGGTCTATCTCCTTTGCCGACCAGCCACAATCCGCTAACTCTCTGAGTCAAACGAAATCCTCCAAACCCAAAGCTATGTAGACCCCAGCAGTCCGGGCACATATGCTCCATCACTTGTTCTATTCTTCTCCCTTGATATTATCTGTGGTTAGACACTTGTAATTGTATGGTTATTTCTACCTACTTGAGATTTATTTCCACTTTGAAATAACATACTTTTTACAAGTTTTCTCATAAGTAGCTACTATTTGAAGCATTAAGCTGATACTTTTTACCTTTCGTGTAGAGAACAAAAGGAGGCCACGGCTAACCAGTATAATAGCTGGTTCTTCTGGTACAATGAAAGCTGAAGAAGTTGCCAAGAAAGCCTGGGATGGCATAAAATCTGGAAGTTTTTTTGTTCCGTGCAACATAGAGGGTTACGCGCTATCTATAGCCACCGCTGGTCTGTCTCCTCAAAGTTCATTCTTCATGGCTTTTGTGGAGGTGTTTGCAGCAGGCATTATGCGTATTGTGGCTCTCTGCTTTCAGTGGAATTGGTATGGAATCATTGAAAAGTATCATTATGTAAATAAATAGTAACGTATTTGTTTGGTGTTCAAAGCAACTAAAGTTGATACATAAAGAAAATTTTCATTTGTTTTGATAGTTATTTCCTAATCCAAAACACTTGCTTTTTATCTCGAACTTTCATCTGTGGAACACACGCGACCTTATACATTTATACACGGCATTATCACTCATTTAATATATTAATGCTTGGTAAAGTTGTTCGTGACTCAATTTTCAGAGTTAACTTACAATATTAGGGAATTCAGGGACTTTAACTTTCATAAAAAAATTGGTTTTTTGGGACTCGTGCAATTTTGTATTGCTTTTATGGACCAAAACAGAAATAGATTAGATACCTACACTAAAATTTCATGAAAGTTGAGTTCTTGTTTTGTAGTTAACTCCCAATTTTCATCAAAACGTGCCATTGCTTGATCACCTTTCATCAATTCTAACACATTTCACCCAAGACCAGAACACTTGCTTTTTATCTAGAACTTTCATATGTGGAACACACACGGCATTATACATTTATACCCAAATTCAATTTTCCTCCTTGGATCCATGAAGGTTGTGGACAAGGCTGTAATTGAAAATGTAAATACTTGAAAGAAATATATAGCAATATAGCACTACTTTAAAAAGTTTTGTACTTTAAAATTTTGAAACTATGACAACATTAAGAGTAGGGATGGACTGGGGCTGGGTAGCCTTGCCCGGGATTGACTCGGCCTTGTACCGTTGAAGCAGCCTAGCTCTCTGGCCGGGTTTCCCACGTACACAGAAGACGCCACTCATGCAAATGGCCGGTCTCTAACGTAACTTGGTGTGCCATGAGGATGGAGATGTACTATTCATCTAGGCAAAAATTATAAGTATGTGCGTACTTCTGTAAATAAATACTTGGTAGTATATTCCATATATGAATAATGTCTTGAAAAAGCTGAAGAACTAATTGAAATACGTAGTAGTTTGCATTAAAAAAGTTGTATTGAACAAGAGTTTAAAATAGAACCATTTGTACAAATTTGCTCATATCATAACATAAATTTGTATAAGAAATTTCAATGAGTGTCTGAGTTTATATACTTTCTCCGTTTTTAAATAAATGCAACATGTTAAATCATACATTATTCACATGTTCTACTTTAACTACGTTTTATTGATGTATTAATAATTTATTTTTAAAAAACTATTGTTAAATTTGTCTTATCATAAATTTTCAAAATCTGAATTTTTAATTTTTGTAATAATAGAGAATTAAATATATTAATGATCAAAGTACTGTGTTGGCAACGTGAAACGTTGACTGTTGCATTTATTTAAGAACGGGGGTAGTATATACTTTTATTTACCGTGTGCATGTGTAAGATATTGTTATGAGTTATTCAACGAAAAATATACGGAGTAAATAAATTATTGGAATTTAAGGTCTTTTCATGTTTCGCACTAATTTTTGTTTAGGCCTTTAGGGCATTCACTTTGTGCATACTTCACCCAAATGGAAATCCTTACAATTGAAACCACTTTATTGGCATTTAAATGTGAAATAAATGTCTCTTATTTCGTTTAAGAATGTACTCGTAGTTTAGAGAAAAAAAACTGAATCCATAAAAACCATGATGCATATTTAACTAAATTACAAATTCTTAAAGGCTGAAATAGCAACACCATAACTGATGGTGTATTTTCGCGTTTTTTACAAAAATTCTCGGTAAAAATATTATACATTGGGCAGCTAATAAGTGAATGGTGATATTGTTCAAAAAAAGAAAGCAATGACTTGAAATAATTTGGCCACATTACCGATGATATTTAGTGTCTCAATAATATGCCTCCGGTAAATATCCTTACTTTTTAACAAAAGCAAGTCCCCTGTAAAAATATATCATTTGCTTTCATGCTAATATCCTTGAAAATATATCATTTGCTTTCATGATAATATCCTTGAATCCGAATGATATACTACGTACATAGGAATAATAGCTGCAATTTATTTTTCCTTTTCACATTAGAGTTTAATGCTCAATGCATTTCTTTAACAATTTTTTCCCTAATTTCATTTTCACATGTCACCCATTTCTAGGAAAATGAAGTAGGTGAAAATCTAAATTTTTAAATTAATCGAGATACAAGAGGCAATCTTTTGAAATTAATTTACATTTTATTTATTATTAGAGTTACTTTAATTTTAAATAATTTGGAATATATATACATATAGAATTAATATCCTGTGCATCGCACGTGTACAAAACTAGTGTGATATGGTAATTAATGAGTAAGATAAAATAGGATCATATAGTTTTAAATTTTAACATGCGGCTTTATAAACATATACTCACATAATCATAAAAGACTAAGGCTATGTTTGGCACGCATAAGTCTCTACTTTCTAGCTTTTGTACTTTTCAAAAAGTCTCTAAAAACTTCTAGTTATATGTTTGACATGACAAGTTTTAAGAGCTTTTCAAAAATTAAAATATCTTTTTTGAGATGCTACAAGGAGTAATATTTGAAAAAAGCTCGTGACTTTTAGTATTAATTAGTCCTAACAGCTTGTATACCAAATCGAACTAAATCAAACAGTCAACTTTTTACCAAACAGCTACCACATTTTCTCTTCAAGATATTAAAAAGCTATCAGTTATTAAAAAACTCACAAAAATATCTTTTCAGCTAGTTGTGCCAAACATAGCATACAGCCATCCATCTATAACCATAGAGGGCTTTGGGTTATTATTTGTGACATGACTTTTATATTAATATATTAACTAAAAGCGCAAGAGGCCAGGTGCAGAGGAAGGAAAATACAATTTAACGGGAATGACTATTGAGTTGTGCACCCAAAAAATGTGAAGTTTGTGTGCCGAATTTGTACGTACGGTTCACCTGGAATAATTTATCAAAGGGCTAGTGGGCTAGTGGCGGTCAAAGGGGAAACAATTTGATAGGCCACACAAGGTTTTATTACTCCCTTCGTACCAATTTGATGTTCATGTTGCGGTTTATGATGGTTGACTAACGATAAAGTAAACAGATCCATGTTCGTACACAAATTATTTATAGGGATTTTATACATATTCAGAAACTAAATTAAAATCAGAATCAAATTTGACAAAAATTTGATATATAAAGTAAAAGATTAAGAGTGATTTGTGTTGAACAAATGAATAGGAATTGTGAACATCAAATTCGAACGGAGATAGTAGTAGCTTATTATTACTTTAGTTTTAGTTCATTCTCATTACTTTTTCAATTGTCTTTTATGTTGGTACTAGTCTGGGTGTGAGTTCTTATCTGGTGGTGGTTTATGTCTTTTTGGATGGAGGAAATAAGGTTCATGTGATTGGGAAAATATTCAAAGCTCTCACATGACATGTGAAAATATATATTTGCACAATTTTAAATTTTCTTTTAAATTTCGATTTAAAAACAATTCCCCCATATATATGGGGGGATTGCTTATCAAATAAATTTAACATAGGTGATTTGAGCTCAACTCAACCTTTCAAACAACAGTAATGCTTTGTGTACACAGACATTTGAACACAACATTTTAGACGTCGGTCAAATTGGCACAGAGAATTTTTTATTACCTTCTAAACCACATTTTTGGATATTGGTTTTAATCGGCTTCAAGGAAAAAGCACTCAGTTGAATTTGGAAATTTTAAATTTGAGTGGGGATAAAAAGTTAAATCGTTCCTAACTCCATATAGTAAATTCAGGTTTAATAATTAAAATTTACATTGAGATCAACCTTAAAACTTTTCTAAAGTTTGTAACATTCAAATTAGAATATAAAAAAAAAATCGATACGCTAAAGAAGTAGATGAATTGAGTTATTTTCTCATATAAATAACAAGAAACCAAGAATCATTATTTTTAGAGAGAATTCCCTAAATAGGAGTAAAAAAATTTGAAATTCCAAAATAGGAGTATCATGTTTTTTATTCCTTGAATAGGAGTAAATTTCTGCCAATTTGTCATTACTAGACTTTAAAACATGACATTTTTTTTCAAACTTGTCAATTTCTATTATTTTTATCCTATCCAAATCTAAAGTCATTGCAAAGATCAGGCTTATATTTTACAATTCACTTTTATTTGTCAAACAAAAACAGAACCTCTCGAGATATTTAGCTAGCTGGGGAATAAGCGAACGTATCATGGAGGTTTCAAGTCTATTGTCGCTCCTATTTCTTCTTCTTCTTTTTCCCATCCCGCTCTTCCTCTACCTCATCGTCCGGCCACGTCCCGTGAAAGTCCCAATCAAGAACCGCCACGTCTTCATCACCGGCGGCTCCAGCGGCATCGGCTTGGCTATAGCTCACCAAGCCGCTTCCGAAGGCGCCAAAGTCTCGATACTAGCTCGGAATGAGGAGAAGCTGGAGGATGCCAAGCGCGCGATACGCGCCGCCACCGGATGCGACGTCGGCCTGTTTAGCGCCGACGTCAGAGATTTCGACGCTGTGAGGAGGGCGGTGGAAGAGGCCGGGCCGGTGGATGTTCTGGTGTGTAACCAGGGGGTGTTTGTGGCGGAGGAGGTGGAGCGGCAGGACATGCAGGAGGTGAAGTGGATGATCGACGTGAACTTGACGGGGACTTTTAATTTGATCAAAGTGGCGTTGCCGGGAATGAAGAAGAACAGGGGAGAGCGTGGACCGGGGTCAATCGCCGTCATGTCCTCTCAGGCCGGACAGGTATACATCAATATATGCACATATGAATACATTTATCAAATAAAGATTTTATATAAATTGGTCAGGTTTTTAATTGATCTAAACATCCTCTGTGATAACCGGGTTAGAATCGAGTCTAGACCTACATAGTCGATCATTGTTAAGTCCCGTTTAGTTAAGATTTTCAGAGCCCTTTTGGTAACACGAAAATCGGATGGTTTGGCTGATTCTGCTGAAATTTATGAAGTTCTGGCTGAAGTGGCTGCATTGGCTAATTCTGTTGATTTAAGAAAAAAATACTCTTAAAATATATTTTATTAATAAAACAAAGAAAAAAATTATATGTAAAAATAGTTAAAATGGTCATCTACAGTATTCAGCCAATACAACCAGAAAAGTAACTTCAACCTTACTTTTTCTGCTTATTACACAATTCAGCGCGCGAAAGCGAAAGTTACGTGTTTGGTGAAAAACTTGGTTGATAAGCCTGATAAGCCGATAAACAGTGTTACTAAACGGCCTCTTAATAGAATACTACTCCCTCCATCCCCCAATTAAGTTCCCGGTTTGACTTCACACATATTAAGAAAATAAATTTGACTTTACTGTGGAGTGCACTGTTTTGCACTGTTTGACACTGTTTGGCACTGTTTTGCACTTTTCACACTGTTTTGATGTAGATAATTTGCCAAATAAGGAAAGTAAGGAAGTGCGAACTTAATTTAGGGACTACCCAAAAAGGAAAGTGGTAACTTAATTAGGGGACGGAGGGAGTATATTTTGAATAGATAGTAAGTAGTATAAGAGACTAAAAAGTCCAATCATAAACTTTCATAATCATGAAGTTTTACTGCCTATAAAATTTGAACAAATTAAAGTATACGATTGATATTTGTGTAAAAAAGAGAAATAATTTTAGTTACATAATTGCTACGCAGTACTTTAAATGAAAATGACAAGTTTTATGGGGGAGGGGCAGTAATACAATAGTCTTTCCCATTAACACGCTTATTAAGAACGTCTATTCACCTATTTTTAAAACCAATTATGGTTTAAATGTATGTTTTGTTTGAATGGAAATATATGTTGACGAATGAAATTTTTCATTGACAATAAAACTCAAAAAATAATATTAAAATGATACTATGTGCAAAATAAAGAGTTACATGTATTACTTAATCCAGATAAATACTACGTATTTTATTAGAGACATAAAGGACTTAATTAATAGAAAAACTTAAACATCCCTTTGCTGTATAAAAATAAGAGGATAATATTTCAACAAACAAAGTTGACATGTTGGAGATGTTTACCTAGCCTACAATTTGTATGAGGTGTTTCAGGTGGGCATCTATGGTTATGCAGCCTATTCAGCTTCCAAATTTGGGCTCAGAGGTTTGGCAGAGGCGTTGCAGCAGGAAGTTATTGCAGATAACATTCATGTTTCTTTAATATATCCTCCTGACACCGATACTCCTGGCCTTGCTCAAGGTAATTAATTCTATTTATCCCTAAATTAAAATATTGTGGTGATTTGTCCGATGTTATCTGTTTCTTTGCCCAAATAAAGAGTATATATTTGTCCACTACACGAAAAAGAAAAAAAACTTTGGTGAAAAAGCGTTTATGATGTACTTAGTACTCCCTCCGGTTCTTATTAAAGTTCCCACTTTCCTTTTTGGGATGTCCCTTATTTAAATTCACACTTCCATTTTAGGAAACAAAACAGTGCAAAACAGTGCCAAACAGTGTCCAAACAGTGCCAAACAGTGCCAAACAGTGCACTCCACAGTAAAGTCAAATTCATTTTCTTAATATGTGTGAAGTCAAACTGGGAACTTAAATAAGAACCGGAGGAAATATCATTGAAATAAAATTTATGACGCAAATGTGACTGAGTTATAAGGAGTAGTTATGAGAGGAAAATAATTTAAACATTTCAAACTTCAAAGGGCGTGAGAATATTTTTTTTATAAAATTTTATATATAAAATTATTTTAGCTTCATGATCATATTTTTCACAAATGTAATGTTATTGGGTGTTTAATGCATAACTTAGAATACACACGACATTTATGAGGATGTAATTAAAATTAAATTGAACCGGATGTAATATTATTTATTACACATGAAATTTTAGAATGTTAACTGCATTCTAACAAAGATTAGAATATATTTTAAATCATGTAATTATTTTAATAAATTTGTTATTGTAACAAAACATACAATCATGGTGTGAGAATGTTTTTTTATATAAAGTTCAGAGTTATATATACTCCCTCCGGTTCTCAAAGAGCTTCACAGTTTGACTTCACACAGATTAAGAAAATAAATTTGACTTTACTGTGGAGTGTACTGTTTGGCACTGTTTGACACTGTTTTGGACTGTTTTGGTGTAGATAATTTGCCAAATAAGGAAATAAAAATAAGTGTGAAGTTAATTTCGGAACTTCCTTAAAAGGAAAGTGGGAAGTTGTTTGAGAACCGGAGGAAGTATTAAACATATATGCAAGTTTGGGATACTTATGTCATATCCCATAGATGTGATATCATTCTATATCACATTTACTACGGTGTGAAATCTTACGTGATAATCATGATCACTAAAGTTATACCCCTCCGTCCCACTAACAATGGGACAAGAGAGAGTTACACGTAAACCAATAAAAAGTGGTTTATGTGTTTGATATTGAATTGGTAAAGTAAGAACAAAGTTAGAATGATATAGAGTCACACAAATTTTACCAAATTTGGAATGGAACAATTTTAGCGGAATGGAACAAAAAAGTAAAATATGACAATCTTAACGGGACGGATGAAGTACAACCCACTAAAGTATAAAAATCGATCATATAAAAGGGTAAACTAGTCAATTATTATTTCAGTCGTTTGAAGCCCTTGATTGATAAATTCAATTCTAATGTTCGAGAACACATTGTTCTATCAGATTAAAGATCCACTTAATGCATGGAGCCATGGACTGCATTATCGAACGTGATCATACAAAAAAAAAATCAATTTATGACGACGTGTCAATTGTATCAAATTTCAATAATAGAAAAGGAGTATTTTCAAATGGCTAGTTGGCTATATAGTTGAGAGTTTTCAATTTGGGTCGGTGGGTGCATGATTGCATGTAGTCCATAGATGACCATCTACGCCTAAGTCTCTCCTTTGTGGGAGATCTTGCGTTTAATTCCCACCGAGGGAAGATGATGGAGGTCTTGCTCCCAATGATTTTTCCTACCTTCACGGAGTTGCTCAGCGGTTGAGAAGGGAGAAGATGGTAATGAAGGTAGCAAGTTCTTGTGGTGGGAGGAGCAGCCTGAAAGGTGCTGTAAGTCCTGCTGGATTCGTCCTTTGGAGTTTGTACTGACGAGGCTGACTGTGATCAGATCCGGATTATGAACTTTTGTTTTGGAACAATAGTTCATAACTACAATATTATGGGAGCGTAAACCCCGACACCTTGATTATAAAAAAAATGAGAGATCAATTTTTCTTCTATGTTCTTTAAAAGTTTATAGTATATGTTGAATCATAAGCTAAGGAAATTTTACTTATCAGAAATATGTCATTTTTGAAAACTTTTAAACAAAAAAGAGCTTTTTGGATTTTTCATACTCCATTTGTCCCGATTTGTAAGACGTTTTACGGTTTACGATGTTTGACCGACGATAAAGAAAATTCATCCTTGTGCACACTCAAATTATTTTTAGAAAAAAATTACATATTCAGAGTGATTTGATAAAAAATTGATATATAAAGTAAGAGATTAGGAGTGATTTGTGTTGACCAAGTGAATATATAGGAAACATTCTTACAATTTTGGAATCAGGAGTATTTTATTTTATGTTATCCTAAAAAGAGAAGTTTTTCATCTTCTTTATCTTTTCTTTTGTTCTTTATCCTTTTATAATTTATATTTATTTATATTCTTTTTATCATTTTTATCTTTATCTTATCATTTTAATCTTTTTTTATGTGTAGTATGTAGTAATATTTTATTTTTTTATTTTTTTTTCTGTTGGTTCCAATATCACACAATATATATCATTCATGTTAGTTGCAACTAAAATCTAGTGGGTTTGAGATTTTTGGGATTGAGATTTGGATGTTTTTGTATAAATATATAAGGGTATGTTTGGTCGGGGAAAACCATCTATATGCAGGCCGAAATCTAATGCCTGGAATGTGAGATGTCCATGTTTGATTCACGGGTCTGAATTTTTCCCAAAATTATATAAAAAGCACAATGTTTTTCAATAATTATTTAACCAACTATCCGATTGAAATTTATGGATATAATCTAGATTTCATAAAGAACATGCTCAGAAAATTACATAAAAAAAATTGACCGGGACAACTTCAAATGGAGGGATGCAGCTCCTCTCCATTTCTTTCTCTATTTTCCCTTCATTTCCTTTTTACTTCCTATCTATCTATACCTCTTTCTCTATCATATTCACCAACATACCTCACTCTTAATTTTCTCCTCTCTTTCTCATAATGGAACTCTCCGGTTAATGGAGAGGATTCAAATTCCAAATGGAGGTGGTCGGACAAAGATTCTTATCAGGTAGTTCTGGCAGAAGTTTTTTAGAATTAAAATTCCAAAATAATCACGAAATCTAGGATAAAACTGAAAAACATATTATTTTCAAAGGAGAGTTCGAACAGTTGAGAAGTTACAACTTTCAAAATAAGCGCACTACGTATATTTATATGATAATTTTATATATATAATTTAGGTAAATAATATGGAGTAGAAGAGACGAAGAGTTATTTGATAAAAAAAAGGATGACACCACATCCCCGAGGGTCCCCCAACCTCGACCGGACGCTACGTTGGGAGAATATAAATTGAACTATAATCTCAATCTGACAGATAGAGAGTGAGGCTCTGTCCCCGTTACTTGCAGAAGTCCTATGCATATTTAGCATAGTAACCCCTCATCGCAGTTGTCGTGATTCGAACTCGAGACCTAATTCTTGTGACACTCCCTTGCTACCAGTTGAGCTACGCCCGAAGAGTTATTTGATAAATTCAAGACATCAACACGTAGAGAATTGGAGTATATATTGGACTCCGTATAATGTTTATAGACCCGTCTTCCAGTAATGTTCCCAGACAAAAAAACCTTTTGATGAATAACGGAGATCAAAGAGAGCTTAATAACCAAAGGTTTTGACTTTACGGACAACATACATAGCATAGAGTACAATTAAGAATTGCTTTATGTTACACCAACCCATTTTACATTCCTAAATAGCCCTAACCCAGTAACCCTCATTAACCTTTATGGGTATGTTTGGTTTAGGGTTATCTCACATTGAGGCTGAAATGTCAAATGTGATGCCTGAAATATTAGATACTCATGTTTGGTTCACGGTTTTGAGAAAAGATCGGGAAAGTTACATTCCCGGGAATGTAATATGGAGGGGAATGTTATACCCTTCCATGCCTTAGGTTATCTGACATTCACGGGGATGATCTAATTTTTTTCCGAAAATACCCTCAATTAATTATCGCTTTTCATTTAATTTCTCTATGTATTCAACTTTTATCAAATTTGAATTTTTGTGATTTTATAAAACTTTTAATGTAGTTTCTAAATGTGTAACTTTTATTTACTAAAAATAATTTTATTATTGACAGAGATCAGTTAATTTTAGGGGGTTTTCCTTAAATATTACTAAAATATAAGTTATGGATAAAAATATAAGTACGGTTAATATGCATAGTCACTATGATGTAAAGTTGAACACTATCATGGTCAATAAAGTTACTATTATAGTCACTAAGTCATATTTGTGTCTACTACCTTCGTTTCAGTTATATATTTGTCATTATTTCTTAATTTTATAGTCAGTTGAATATCTAGATTGTGTGACAACCTTTTAAGTGAGGCGAATGAAGTATGTTTATTTAATTATATTCAAATGTCTATTCTTGTTATTTTCATAATTCTTTTTTCATTAACATTTAAATTTTTTAAGGTATTTATGCTTATAGATTACTTAAGTTTTTAATGAATGGATTTCAAAATTTAATGACAAAATTGATCATTTTTTCTTTAATTTGAAAACAAATTTTACGAATAACTTGAACATTTTTAAAATTTAATTTTTTTGAAGTGATAATAAATATATTTAGATTGCTATTTGAACAGAGTTTTTTTTCATTTTTGTATTGGATGATCTAAAACCTCTTACGATTAAACCTACTTAAAAATAATTCAATTAGATTTCATTTTATTTATTATTAAGATATTTCATTTTTTTGTTTAATTTTTAATTACTTCAGACGTAGTTGTAATAGATTTATTGTGTTAAGAGAAAATATTTAAAGGGCATTGAGGTAATCCACCATATCTATAATATAAGATATCTTTTAACCAAATAAATTAACGTCACATTCCTTTAACCTTAACCAAACACAAATGGGAATAACGTGAATATATTCCCATCAATCTAACATATCCAGCAATCTAAGATTCTCATGGTAATCTGATATTTTTTGAACCAAACGCACTTATAAGTTTGTAGATAGATGTTTGTCATTATGTATTTATTTAAACAACATTATTTTTTAATGTTCACCTATCTTTCTCTTTGGGTGCAACATCCACAATGTATCTTTGTCATTTTGTACAATTAATCATAATTCATTTAGTTTTGACTTTTTCTATTGTTAAGGTATTTCATTTTTTTCTTTAATTTAAGTTAGTTTAAATGCAAGATGTAATAAATTTATTGTGCTAAGAGAAAATCACAAAATCTCTAGTTTACGATATCATTCAACCAAACAAATTAATGTGATATTCCCTTAATCTCAATCAAACACAAATGAGATCGATATAATTGAATACATTCTCATCAATTTAACATACCCAACACTCTGACATACCCAAAGTAATGTGATATTCCGTGAACCAAACGGGGCCTAAGGGAAAAGTACAGAAAATGTACTTGTGATTGGGCCCGTTTTCAGATGGGGTCATGTGTTTCATTTTTTATCAAAGTGGTTCATATGTTTGATGAAAAATGACACATATGAACCTATCTGAAAATTAACGCAATGATAAGTATCTTTTTTGTACATTTCCCAAACTATAAAACAAAAAAAGAAAAGGATCTCGTGTATATGATATGAAGTACGTACGAATTAAAGTATATTCCAGGTTGTTATTCGTCTCAACCATTACCGTTCTCATCAATCTAACATACCCAACAATATGACATACCCAAAGTAATCTGACGTTCCGTGAACCAAATGGGGCCTAAAGGAGAAGTACATAAAAGTACTGGTGGTTGGCCCGTTTTGATATAGGATAATGTGTTTCATTTTTTTTCAAAGTTGTTCATATATTTGATGAAAAATGACACATATAACCCTATCTGAAAACGAACTCAATAACAAGTATATTTTCCGTACGTTTCCCAAAATATAAATCACAAAAAAGAAAAGGATTCTGTGTATATGATACGAAGTACGTAGTACGAATTAAAGTATATCGTAGGTTGTTATTCTTCTCAGCCATTACTGTCAAGTTACGTTCTTTTATACGATAGTATTTAAGAAGACAATGTTCAAGTTAAGGTCTTTTTAATTTATAAAAAAGATACTCTGATCTTTATGTTTTTTTTTTAAATAAAAGAGTGGCTTTATATCAATATCAAGAAAGCATACAAGTGTCACAAGACAACCTCGAGACAGTTACAACATGTCCAACTGTCCATCATAAACTCTAAAAATAGACACAAAATGGGCATTTTAAGCCTAAAATGACCGGAACCGTAACACTATTCTCAAAAGTACTTCAAAAATTTAAATATCAAAATCAAACTTACTCGAAATAAAAGAAAAACAAGTACTCCTTAAGAAGAAATCATGCTGGAATAAAGTCTTTCCACAAAACTCTTTCTGCTGCAATATGAGTGAACACTAAATTCTTCTTCATACTCAGCTCTGAAAAGACGTGGAAACAGGTGGAGACACAACACACAAACCCTCTTTAGGCATATTTCACATACTTTACATAGTCTAAAAGAAGACAAACAAAAACCTCTTATCAAGCGAAGCTGGCACATACACCAAAGCAACTTCCCACATCGAAGGAGACAAAACACGCCGCCGGAGCACTAAGGTCTAGGAAAGAACAGTCATAGAATAGAACAAACACAACAACAAAAGAAGAGCAACCAAATTGAGACTAGCTAGATGACAAGCCCTCCTCCAATTGCCCGCTCATCCGCACTACCAATATAGATATGTGACGCGCTGCTAGGGTTTAGAGCGCATGTCCATAAGATCCTTTTAAAATACTAAACATATATGTTAACATGGCAATTTTTATTTTATTAATTCACGTGTCAATTGATACTCCATATGAAATATGAACTGATGATGAATTACTATATATTTTTATTAGAGAGTAAAAAGAGACCTCGGATAACAAGTCTACTATCAGCATTTTCCGGGCCGATGAAAGCCGAAGAAGTTGGGAAGAAAACATTAGATGGAATAAAATGCGGGCGGTTTTCGGTTCCATGCGACATCGATGGTTTGGCGATAACCATCGCCACCGCTGGTATGTCTCCTCAAAGGTCATTCCTCATGGCTTTGGTTGAGGTGTTTGCTGCTGGAATATTGCGTATTGTCGCTCTCTGCTTCCAGTTTAGCTGGTACAGGACCATCGAAAAATATTATCTTCCCATGAGGAAATAGTACTAGCTAACTATATGTTATTAGTGCATTTATTATTACTACGAGTAATATACTGTGTATAAAATAAATAAGCTATTTCTTAGCTTAGCTTCTACTTGTTATTTCCTGCATGTTTTAATAATGATGACTTTGAAGTTTTTCTTTTTTATTTAATCACACTCTAATAGAGAGTATTAGACTGTTTTTAATTGAAATGTAATTTTCTAATTTGAGCTTGTCTAGTTTGATTTGTTTAATTAATACTTCATGCATCCCTTGAAACTTTTTTTCTTAAATTGGGTGAATACCTTAAAAATCTGGATGTTCAATCTAGGGTTGTGAATGATCCAATTATATACTGTGAATTTGTGATTATAATGTGTATTAGTAATAGTATCTCTACCCAAGATGTTGTTCAATTGTCACTGATACATTGATCGTAAACTCCAAATAAAATTGTTTGTTTGTACCTAGCTACTTATACTCACTTTATACCCACCTCTATGAGAAGGCTAATTTTTATTTGCGAATCTTGTTCACAGACAAAACATGTCTATTAATACGTTGTGGGTATAGGATGAGTATAAGGAGGTGAGTACAAGTAGCAAAACTGAACTCCAAATAGCCTACACGTTTCTTAGGCTATTTACACTTTGGTTCTTCAAAGTTTAAACTAATCACCATATGATGTGAGTAAAAAATTAGTCATGGAATGAATGAAAAGGAAGAACAATGCCTACTCAAAAGGTTTGACACAAAACCAAAAAAAAAAGAGGAATTAAAGATATAGATATGATGTGGCATTGTAAATTAATGTGATTGACTTATAAGGTTGTTTTTACTTTGACTGTAATTCATCCAGATCAGACTAGACCAGACTAAAACAGATTAGACCAGATCATAACATATATTATTATTATTATTATTATTATCATCATCATCATCATCATCATCATCATCATCATCATCATCATCATTGTTATTATTATTAGTATTATTAGTATTATTAGTATTATTAGTATTATTAGTATTATTACTATTATTACTATTATTACTATTATTATTTTTAATTATAAATGAATAAAATATAATTATTTATGGATTATAATATATATAAAAAATAAAATCTGTATGCAAAAAATATAAAAAATAAAAATTCAGACCAGACCAGACCATATTTTATCATCATCATCATCATCATCATCATTGTTATTGTTATTATTATTAGTATTATTAGTATTATTACTATTATTACTATTATTATTTTTAATTATAAATGAATAAAATATAATTATTTATGGATTATAATATATATATAAAATAAAATTTTTATGCAAAAAATATAAAAAATGAAATTTCAGATCAGACCAGACTAAAAATTAAGTGGACCTAGTAGCAATTGAATTCTTCTAAAAATAATACATCGTGTACTCATGGATAGATATACTAGCATTAAAAGGATGTATTCTTTTTTATTTCATTTTGTGGTTGATTATCAATAATAATTAATGCCCTGTCACGCAAAAACTCTATTATTAAAAATAATACATCATGTACTCATGGATAGATAATTTCTTTTTTTAATTAACTTTCAATTAAAGTAATAAATGTGGTTAATGTTATTTGTCACTTTTCTGCAGCCGGATCAATTTTGGCCAATTAATTTTGGCCAATCAATTTTCTTTCTTACTATTACACATGCAAATCAATTTTGGCCAATTATTACGAGGGTACTAATTATTATCATTGTGCTTTACACAATGCTTGTAGCCGGATCCATCACGCTTGAATATAATGTAGTACTCTATTTTATATTTAAAATTTGAACATTTCATGTTTCTGACTTCATTATGTTATGTCTTTTAATTATGCATGTGTATGTTTATAATGTTTTTCGAATAATTTCATTTATATTTATTGTGTTTATCCTTATTTTCTAATGTTTTAATTTATACTCCGTAACTTACAACTATTTATTAAACTTGTAATTAATTATTGATTACTATTAGTTATTGAGTAATTAAATAATGCTTTATTAATTATGACAACAAATTTTCACTTCTTTTGCCTCCAAATGAATTTATATTTGAATTTCTATCATATTCTCTTTACCTATACTAGTTAATCTCATGAACGATGCACGGCAAAATTCGCTTAATATTTCATTCATTTGATATATAATGATTTTTTTGTCTTTAATCAAAAATATAAAAAATGTGTAGGAATGAATAAACTCGTAACTACTACGTAGTACTTAAGATAAAGATATGAGTGGTATTTATCAGGAAGGTGGGTGTAGTCCATTGGACTACACTCACCTTCCCAATAAAAAAATGAGTGGTATTTATTTGTTCTGCTTTATTCTATCACTCTCTGAGTGCTCAGTTCTAGCTAGAAAATTCAAACATAGGTTATCAAAAAAGAATGAGTGGTATTTATTTGTTCTCCTTTATTCTACCACTCTCTGAGTGCTCAGTTCTAGCTAGAAAATTCAAACATAAATTACAAATATTACTCTGACTATTCTAGTGTACATTACTTAAGATTGAATAAGATAGATTTTGAAATTATGTATATGTGAGTAAAGATGATATTCGGACCCTTTTTTGGATTTATCGGGATTGATATAAATCAATGACTCAACATCTCATAATGGTTCTCAATTGATTTATGAGATCTGAGTTGCTCGTGATTTTTATTGATATTTCTACTTCAGACATATTCACTTAAACTTATTTTGACTTTCTAATACACCGTGAAATTCTATAATAATCAAAATCAATTTTATAATTGATTTTTAGTTGAATTGGCATATTTTGCTTAAAGACTAATTTTAGCTTTCTTTCATAATTATTATCCTTCATGCAATTAATGAAATATACTATCGTAATTTAAATATAACTTCCATAATTCAAGTCACCTCAATCAAAATTTCAACAATTTAACCACCTTTAACATTACTAAACCGGATTAACAATCAGACGCTTTCATCCAATCAACCATATCTCTAAATTTTATTTTGAGAATTCTTATTTTATATTACGCATGGAACTAAGTAATTTTTTCTCTTTCTAATATGCTTTTAAATCTATTATTTAAAAATTTCTTATTAAATTATTATACTACGTATAATTTAAAGCCAGTTTTAAATTAAGTAAAAATAAAACACAGTACTCCATACTTCAAAAAAAAAGTACTCCGTAAGATTATAAGAGTTACTCGTGCCCCTCACCTCCTGTAATCTTGCGCAACTATTTGCACTATCACAGTTCACGAAAGCGCATTGCACTTTTACCCAAAAGGTTAAAATTAAATCCTCCATCCCCAAAAAAAGTTAAAAAGATATTTTTATAAGCTTTTTAGTAACGGTTAGTTTTTAGTGATTGAAAAGATCTTAAAAGAAAAATGTAGCAGCTGTTTGATAAAAAGCTGACTGTTTGATTTAGCTTTGTTTGATATACAAGCTGTTAGGACTAAATAATGCTAGAAGCTACAGACTTATCTGAGATTCTACTTACTGTAGCATCTGAAAAAAGATCTTTTATTTTTGTAAAAGCTCTTAAAAATTGGCATGTCAAACATACACCTAGAAGCTTCTAAAAACTTTTTAAATAGTACAAAAGCTAGAAGGCATGGACTTATGCGTGCCAAACATAGTCGTAGCACATGAGAGGTTGTAAATCACGGTGACTCAACCCGTGCGCACCAGAGGCCCAACTAAGGATGGACTCGGGCCAGGCTCCGGGCCGAGCCCGACCAAGCTTTTTCCCGAGGAAGTGAGGCCCGGAACCGGCCCGGATGCCTATCGGGTCTGGTTCAGACCGGGTTACCCGGCCGGGGTAGCAGGTTGGGTATTGGCCGGGTAACGCCGAACCGGGTATTTTTTTTTTCAAATTAATTTCTAAAATGGTTAAAGTATATTTATTTGAAATATGTAGTACAATTGAGAATTGAGAAAGATTTAAAACATGAAATACATTTTCGATTGTTTCCTACATAAAGTGGCGGGGGGGGGGGGGGGGGGGGGGGGTTGAAATATGAAGTACAATTGATAATATAGTTAATAGCCTATTTTCAAAAAGCGGAAAAAAATACTTCGCATCCTTTTGCCTTTTAATTTTGCATACTCCTCGGATGGTTTGCCTTCAAATGTCTGTCCGCGCCTCCGTATCCATGCAAAATTCCCAAGCAAATTTTCTCGTTACAATGGTAGCAAGTTTTCCACCTCATTCTAACAAAATGTATAACGGGAGTGTGAGTGTATAAGTAATAGGATGGATTTAATTACTATTAATTACTAGTAATATATTTATAAGTAGATATATATAAATAGATACGGTATAATAATTGTATAAATATATGTAGAGAGAATTGAAGAAGATGAAGATGGAGATGATCAAGAGTATTAGGGAATAGAGAATAGAGAGTAGGAAGAGTTGTAGAAGATGTGTAGAAAATTATTTAGAAAATAGGAGTATTTATAGTTTCTTTACCCCCCCTCTCCCTGACCCCCTCCCAGCCCTCCAACGGCTATAGAGCCGTTTGGGAGTGTTCCCAACGGCTAGGAGGAGCTGGTTATAGGGATTTGATTTTTTAAAAAAAATAAAATATGGCCGTTGAGGCTCGGAACAGAACCGAATCGGCTGGGCCAGTTCACCTTTTCACAGGCCCGGGAACCGCCCTCAACAATACCGGGCCGGTTGCCCCGAACCGGTCACAGGTTCGAGTACCGGGACGGGCCGTAACAGTACCGGGCCGGGCCAGTGACAGGCCGGTTAAACCGGCCCGAGTCCATCCTTAGGCCCAACCCAGCACATAGGAGTTGTGACCTCCCCACGATCGCTGCGAGTTTCGATCATTGGTCATTTGTCTAACTTTCCCACCTATTCACCAATTGGACAAACGAAAAGGCATTGCACGTCTCCATAAGATTACCAAAAAGATTATGTAGTTGCTATTAATAAGTACTATCTGTATTTAAGATAAAAGTTGCGCCTAAATTAATTTTGAGACACATTATAAGTCAAATGACATATTTAGAGATCGCACTCAATATTTTTTTAATATTTGATTTGATCGATCTTAAGTTCATATTTACAATTTGTTTCGTAATGACTTTGAGTGTATTATGGTGACTAAAATTAGTTTACAGAGAAAGAGACTATTAAAGTGTTGAGCATATGGTATTATTATGGTGCAAACCTTAAACCCTCCATTATGAGAATAAATAAATAGTCTAAACCCCTGCGTCCATTAAGA